ATGGTAAAGGCAACACATTTGAGTTCAACCTCATCGACGGCGGCGTCTGTGCTAACAATCCGGTATGTCTATGCAGTTATTGTTAGAAATTTTTAATCAAAAGTACTCCGTAACATTTTAAGTGGTTATTTTATAGTGTGCTGTTCAGTTTTGCTTTAATTTAAGTCGGGTCAAGCTGGATTCATATATTATGAAGTAAGACAAACAAATTTATATATTGTAGGCTCAAAATGAAGTAAAGAGTAAAATGTGAAATGTGAAATTGATACTTAAAATAGACTCATTTGAGTTAAAAAATGAGGATGGAAAGGTTTGAAGAAATTTTTGTCTCACATAGATTTGGGAAGTCGATTTGCACGATATATATACAATATCCTTTTAGAGAAAGTTTGAATTGTTATAACATAAAAACTCTCTCCAAGAAGTTTGGGAGCCAGGCTAGGTTGTATGACTTCTTTTGTTCTAGTTTGTAACAAAATTTTGAAGTGCTTCAAAGTGCTCTCTTGTTGTCTCCTATTGTTCTAATTTGCCGAGAATAATATAGTTTGAGCGCTCAACTATATTACTATAATACATTTTATCACATTCTAGAAGTAGCTAATGGATTGTGTGTTGTTCTAGTTTGTTGAAAGTAATATAGTTTGAGTGCTCAACTATATTACTGTAATTCATTTTATCACTCCCAAAAAATAATTAATAGGTCGTGGTACACACAGTACAACTTTGAATTTTTTCTTCTTGTTATTCTTTTGTTCCTTGCAGACTATTTTTAAAAAAATTTAATCCCCGTTTATTTTTATATTTATATAAATTTGATTTATCAACTTATTCATTTTGTAGTATTATATACCCATTTTAGCTGTACTGTTCTTCCAACTAACTTTCCCGTTTTGTGTTTCATGGTATAAGACTCTGGTTGCGATCAGCACAGTGACGCAAAGAATGGCGAGGAAAGACGATCCAGATTTCGCCGGAACTAATCCTATGGACTGCCAACGCTTCCGGGTACTTTCTTTAGGCACAGGATCTTCTAAATATTCCCAGAAATACACTGCAAAAATGGCGGCCAACTGGGGCATCATCGGATGGTTGACTCACAGCGACGGTAACCCTTTGATCGATGTTTTCTCCGACGCCAGCTCCGACATGGTGGATTTTCACATCGCCACCATTTTTCACTCCCTCGATGCCGGAGACAACTACCTCCGAATTCAAGTAAGATCTTTATTATTTTTACTATTATTAATCCATTTGTCTCGTTTTACATGTCATGTTTAGTATTTATTAATCAAATAATTCTTTTTTTCTTTATTTATTTTTTAATTAGATTTTAAATTTAAATATTTTTCAAAAATTAGATTTTAAATATTTTTCAATTTAAATTTTAGTTCTTTATTGTACTTTTAATATAATTTTTAAATATATAAATTATATATATATGCTATTACTAAATTTAATGGTATGAAAAATTAAATTCAAAATAAATTTAGTCAAGCCTATGACGACGTGGGTAATGGGATAAGGACATCAATTGAGATAAGGTTGTTGAACTTATCAAACGAGTTAAATTAAAACTTTTTGATACTTTTAAATTAATATTTTAATTTTAAATTATAATAAATTAGTGGGTTTATATTATCAAGACTATGTGATCTAATGGTACCAGGGGTGGACTTTCATTTGGAAGGTTGTGAGGTCGAGCTTCAGTGTCAGTGGAGGTGTTATTGGTTCAGAAAGTATATAAACAGATACTACACTGTAATATGGGCAGTGACCTTCAAAAAAAAAAATAATGGGTTTATATACATCATTTAATCAATCTAAACATTCATTTTTCAAATTTCAACGAAAAATAATTAATATATTTACAATTTACATAAAAAAAATAATTTTTAAATAATTAATATATTTACAATTTACATAAAAAAAATAATTTTTTAATAAATTTATTAAAATTTTATTAAAAATTTAATAAAAAATTTAAAGATAAATTTACATAGAAACTTTCATTAGTGATTCGAGCAAACTATCAAGTTAGCTCAATAAATTTTGAACTAGTCCATTTTAGCTACGAACTTATCGATTTTAGACTTATCAAGTTGATTTTCATTGATTGGGTTAAATTTTTTCAGCATTAATTTCAAAATTTTAAGATCTTATCGTGTTAATCCATTAATTTCGAGTTAAAATTTACATTCATAGTAATGAATGGGTACAGGTAGATTCTTTAGAAGGAGATGTGGCTTCGGTTGATGTGACGACGGAGGAGAACTTGAAGAAACTGGAAGAAGTTGGGCAAAACTTGCTGAAGAAAAGTGTTTCCAAATTGGATCTTTTGACTGGACAGTATAAGCCTGATGATGCTCGTGGGACAAATGAAGAAGCCTTGAAAAGGTCTTCACCTTTTTTTTTTTTTTTTTTTTTTTTTTTTTTTAATCTCCATCTTCGATAATCATATTAATTCTAATTAAGTTATTATCAAAATTTATTTGAATACACATCCCTCAATATATGATTCTAAAATTTCATCCTCCCAAATGCTTTGTTAGGTCGAAATGCGGGGGCCCTTAGGGTTGGGGTTCAGCCTAGCTTTTGGAAGAATGATTCTAAAATTTCTCTCTCTAAATATAAAATTTCAAATAATTAACTTTAATTTTCTAGTGTTATATGTCAAAACGGGCATAGCCCGTCCCGCGCCGCCAAAAGGACGGGGCGGGCTCTAATTTCTAAAGCCCATATTATGGTGGGATTTTTAGCCCGTCACGCCTGAACCCGCGGGCTTGGCAGGGCGGGTTGACGGGCTCTTAGGGCCGCATTTTGGCGGGCTTTTGGAGGGATCCCGCCCGTCAATCCGCTTTGACAGCTCTAGTCATATTGTGCACAATATAACTACATGAGTGTAAAGGTGAGCAAATTATTGCATGGATCGTGGTCCATGGTCCAAAACCACGTTTTTTTATGTTAATTTTTTTTTTTTTTTTTTTTTTACTTTACGCGCGTGTTAGAATAATGAACATTCTAGGATAAGATAATGTATTTTACATGTTAAAATATAATAATATATTTTATGAATTAAAATAATATATTTTATGTGTTTTTAGACCATGATCCACACAGCTATGTAGACCACGGTCCATGCAATACTGTTGTTACTGGTATCAGAATACAATACAACCAACTACATTTACGTGTTAATATTGGACTAACATCATACTAGTTTTGAATTATTATTTCTTGGAACTAACATTCTATATGTTATGGATTACAGGTTTGCGAAAGTGCTATCAGAGAATAGGAAAAATCGCTTAAAGAATGAAGCCAAACTCAGTAAACTATGAAATGTCAAGTATTCAATTCAGTTTTTCTCGTATTGTTGTTGGTTGTTATAATTATAAAAATGACGATTTAATATTTATCCTTGAAGCATACTTTTGGATTGTAATAATTAATAGTTTAATTAAATATTAGGAAAAAGGTTCAAATAAGCTTTTAAACTTTACCTAAAGTCAATTAGGTTAAACTTTAAAAAAATGTAATTATATGCTTAAAACATGTTATATTGACGCAATGAAGTCCAAGAACCGATAAATGACCTGCTATTACAAGTCATTTGGATTCAGACATCATCCAATAACGGCCGAACTGTCGCTGGTCGCCTTCCATGAAGAAGACGAACTAGTCGCCTTCCGCCGGGGAAGGCGGACAATTGGTCGCCTAATGCCGAAGAAGGTGACCAACTGGTTGCCTTCTCTGGTAGATGGCAACCATCGCCAGTCGTCGAATTTTTGTCGGAGATGACGCTTGAATCCAAATGATCTGTAATAGTATGTCATTTATAGATTTTTGAATTTTTTTGCCTCAATATAACATGTTAAATGATATTGTTGGAGGATGTTGCCTGCATAAATGAAGAAGATCCGCATGCGTAAATAAAGAAGATCATAGATATAAGCATGAGTACGTAAGCATGTACCTCTTCTGTATATAAACTTTCGTTTCCTCCTCTCTGTATCTACTTAGAACATTATTCATCAATACACAACACAGTTTACTCTCTGCATTTTTCCTACTTCTTCAATCTGCTTCCCTTCCTCTCCGTAGCTCCATTGATGTAGTCCATATTCCAACATGGTATCAGAGCCACCACGGTGGTTCACCTACGCCGCCGCCGGCATTGGAGAGTCCAATCAAAGAAGCCATTCGACGACTCCTGATGCTCGATCGCTTTTGCGATCTTCTCCGATCAATCCGCAAAGGAACATCGCTATGCAGAGTAGCAATAAATCCATAGTTCGCGCATCGCGAATCAGTCCGATTGCTACGCAGAGTAGTCGGTCATCAATAACGATTCCGCAGAGGAATCCACAAGATAAGGAAACTCGAATCTCCCCGGCGATCTCCACAGTCGTTCCGCAGCGGAAGGAAGGAATTGATCTGCCGAATGAGATTTTCAAGTTGAAGAAGACGGAGCAGTTCTCCGATTCTCAATCTGAAGAAGACGGAGCAGTTCTCCGATTCTCAATCTGAAGAAGACGGAGCAGTTCTCCGATTCAGCCAAAGCGGTTGCGTATCTTGATCGGAAATTCGTTCAGAGAGATAGTTGTTCATGTGTGGAGTCGAGTTCTGGAGTTTTCAAAAGTGCGATCGAGCTGAAGTTGTCTATAAACGATGAGGTTTTCGATGACTACTCGTCGGCATACTCTGAGCTTCAGTCGGATGTTCTCCAGGAGAGTTCCGATTTGGATTTCTCCGATTATAGTTCGTCGATGTGTGAAAAATTCTGCAGGTCAACCTATGCTCCGGAAAACTCATCATACCCTGAAGAACATAACATTTCTGATGAAATTTCATTGGAGTTGGAAGAAGGGGATGGAGAGAGCTGCCAGATGCTAAGAAGCAGAGAGAGAAGGCAAGTGTATCTACTCGATCTCTTCTAGAATTTAGCTTTCATCGTCGTCTCGGTATCCGTGCTAGTGATGAGCCGTGACGAGTCCCCTATGATGTCGCTCAGGCTCTGGATTGTCGGGTATGATTTCCAGTGTGTGCTCCACATAGTTTGTGTTTGCCTGGAGTATAGACGGCGGAACCAGCTGCCAAGTTCGCCTGAAAACCTGAATTCCCGCCGTAGCTCCGGTAATTGGAGCGGTGGGAATTCGAGCTCCGGAAGTGATGGAGAGTCTGGTGATTATGGCTTGGACACGCGTCAGAATGAGGATGCGGATGAAACTAGTACTGCAAATCATCTGGAGTCTGCAAATACAATGTTCTCATTCATTTGGTGGATAATTGGATTCTATTGGGTATCTGCTGGTGGTGAAAGCAGATCAGGTGGTGAAGCAATCAGGCGTCTAAAATGTTCACAGAATTTGGAAGATTTCCAGTTTGTGGATATTGTTATTGAGGCTATTTTGGAGTCTGAATCTGTGAAGAAAAAGTTTTTTGTTGATTTAGACAAGATTGTGAAGAGCTCTGCAATCTTGACTTCTAACACAAGCTCCATCTCCATTACCTATTTGGCATCTGCAACTAATCATCCTACACAGGTGATTGGCATGCCTTTTATGAATCCTCCTCCGATTATGAAACTGGTTGAAATCATCAGGGGTGCAGATACATCAGATGAGACGTATAATGTAACAAAGAACTTGGCAGAAAAGTTTGGCAAGACTGTTCTTTGCTCTCAGGATTATGCTAGTTTTATTGTGAATCGAATCTTGATGCCAATGATAAACGAAGCATTTTATACACTCTACAATGGAGTCGCAGCTAAGGAAGACATTGATGCAGGAATGAAATTTGCAGATTTTATCGGGTTGGATGTTTGCTTGGCAATTTTGAAAGTCCTCCATGGCAGCTTGGGGGACACTAAATATGCGCCATGCCCTCTACTTGTGTTGTTTGTAATGTGTGGAAGTTTAGGTTCTGCTCTGCAATTATTGGCAGCTTCCCCTTATTCTCTATCAATAGAGAAAGTCTTTGTCAAAGAAGGTGGTGAGATGATGTTTAGACCAAGGATGATGTTTAGAAAGTCTTTTGTGTTTAAGCTGGGCATGTAGGATCTACACGCTCCAGCTTACGGGGGGTGTTGGAGGATGTTGCCTTCATAAATGAAGAAGATCCGCATGCGTAAATAAAGAAGATCATAGATATAAGCATGAGTACGTAAGCATGTACCTCTTCTGTATATAAACTTTCGTTTCCTCCTCTCTGTATCTACTTAGAACATTATTCATTAATACACAACACAGTTTACTCTCTGCATTTTTCCTACTTCTTCAATCTGCTTCCCTTCCTCTCCGTAGCTCCATTGATGTAGTCCATATTCCAACAGATGTAATTACACTTTTTAAAAGTTTAAGAAGTTTATTGACTTTTTAGTTAAAGTTTACACACTTATTTGATCATTTTCCCTAAATATTATAATTTTATCGTCTATAAAGAAAAGGTGAAATATGTATGTGTTTTCTACGGTTTGATACCCACTAATAATCACTAAATTAGATGCATATTTTCGAACGTTTCTTTCATCTTACTCTTCTTAGCGCATTGAGACGTAGTTAATGTAGTCGGAGAAAGAAGAGAGAGAAGATGACACAACAATAGAAAAATTATGACTAAAAAAGTTAAAAGGAAAATCACATTTTTGGTCCCTCAATTGTTTCTCGATCTATAATGTGGTCTCTCATTGTCAATTTTATAAAATTGGGTCCCTCAAATCTTTAAAACGTAATCAATGTGACCCTCCGGTCAGATTTGTCTCAAACTAGAGTTAATATCATAGACACTTTGGTAATTTCGCAATAGTCTTAGTTACCCCCATTCTCCTCCCACGCCATTTACTCCCAATTTCAGTTCAGCCCTAGCTTTCATCTACGATTTACCCCCATCTGCGATTGACCTTTTTTACCCCCAAATCCTTGATCCTACTGCTGCGTAGAGGACGATGAGGCACGAGCACGAGCATGACTAGTAGGAGGATTAATGGCTCCAATACAACTTCTACGTATAAATATCCGAAGCTCACCTATGTTTTATTTTTCGCAGTTGAAAAGTTGATTTTTGTCTTGTTTTGTGTTATTTAAAGAGATTCAAGCATGTCAAATGTATTGGGTTCTGGGATATTGCTTAGTGGGGCCAGTTATAGTTTAATAAATGTACATATCCGAACTTGAACTAGGGTTCTATGTTTCTTTTTCGCATGTGCAATGTGTTGGGTTCTGAGGTTATTGCTTAGTGGGGACTAGTTGTAGTTCTAGGTTACTTTGTTGTACCCACATGGGGACTATAGGTACTGTACTGATTGTGTTTTTAATTTATTGTGAATGGATCTTTTTTTTTCTTCTTTCTACAAAGTTAAAGAGTAATAACAATATAATTATATAAGTGTAATGTGCCTGTTGTTTGATGTGTTTTGTATTTTTATGATTGTGGATTTGTGGTGCGAACTTTTAGAATGTTGAATACATTTATTTCTATGATCATATATTTGATTTTAATTTTTAAATATTATTTATTATTTAGGTCAATTAATTTACTTATTTTTTTTAATAGTCGCCCGGGGACCCGCGAGCCCGCATGGGGCGGGCTTGGGATGTGTATTCCTCAACTCGCGGTCTTCGTGGGCCGGCTTGTAAAAGCCCGCCAAAAAAAAAAACACTGTGGTGGGGCAAGCTTAATGGGCTAGCCGACCAGCATTGACGCTCCTAGTAAATGCTATTGACAAGCACGGTTTTGCTAATAGCACTCCCCCTCTTTCATGTGTTGAAATGACCTAATCGCCTTTCATGATCATTGCCTTTAGGGAAAATGGCCATACATAAAACAATGTACGTAAGATGTATGTTTATTGGGTGGAGTTGATTCATACAAGTATTAAGGAAATAGAAATTCAATACAAAATTCCATACCCTCCCCCCTCCCTCCCCTCCCCCGTTCAATGAGAGTAGATGACGATGCATGTGGACTTTGTGCAGATGTGTCTCCATGTTTATAGTTTTTTAGTAAGTGATATCCGATTTTTAACATTTGACTTTATTGATGTATCAAAATGAGCAATAAAATGAGGCTTACAACTAGCAATGAGGGATGATAGCTGGTGTGAAGCAAATAAAAAATTCAGCTCAAGTGAGTAACATAACTATAATTGCAAGAACAATACAACACAATGATTTTTTCTTTTCCAATGAGGTGCATTAGTTCTTTCTCATTCTATCTATACATAGATCATGTAATGTAACTTCTAAGATACAAGTAGGTTAGGATAAAGATAGCCAATGACCCCGGAGTTGATGGAGAACTCGATTACCCACCTCGATGGGAGAGGGAATACGGATGAAAAATGTGAATTATTTTGTAATTTCCGTCGAGTTCAAGGGTAGAGACGATAAACACCATACTGACCTGATCCTGCCCCAAATACCTATCCCTAGTGAAATTTTGCGGGGGGATTGGGAATACCCACCCCCCCACCCCACATTATTCTCCGTGAGTGTAGATGTGGGGAAAATATATACCCCAAATGCAAGGAAAATGACAAGCCCCAAATGCAAGGAAAAGGACAAGGGAGTATCATGAGATTGATTTCTTTTTGCGTCAAAACCTTGCCTAGGTCCGCAATATAATCTCACCTATATCAACTTCATGAATCGTGTTTCCATCTCGGAAACCGATTCCCCATTGACCGTTCGAAAGTCTTCAAACTTTTTCATGGCTATGGTTAGCTTGTTTTCTTTGAGATGTTCGTCGCATTCTCCGATTCACATCAACTCATTCCAAATGTCTTTGGCGAGTTTGACATTTTTTAACCCTTGAAAAGATAGAATCATCCACGGTTTTGAACAAAATATCCTTGGCAATGTTGTCCAAGTTATTTCTTGTTCTATCCTCGGATATCCATGCGTGTCGAGGCTTTGGAATGTACTCTGGGGCATTCGGTCCTTGGGCAGCAACATTTGCATTTACCACAATAATTGGACTAGCCCTTCGATGATAATCACATCCCACATTTCATCATGTAGAGCCGAAAGGTGTGCCTATATGCACACCTTCCAATCGTCAAATTTATTAAGGTTAAACACAATATTTTTTTTTTTATGCATAATGATCCATATTTTAAAAAAATATGTGCAACAAAAAGAATTTTACTTTTGATATGGAGATCACTAGACAGTATACACAGCGTGTTTACCGTTTAAGGCAATTACTCTGATATCACTTGTTCAGTTGTTTGTCTCGAGGTGCTAAAGAGTGGGGGGGGGGGGGGGGGTTGAATAGACTTGTGGGATTTTGAAAATTTTAATTATTCGTACAAGTAAATCGAAGGGGCACTTCAACGTTTCGTAGAGTATGCACAACAGAAATATTATTAACCCTTTTTAAGTGGTTCACACATAATTTGTTGTGTTCTTTTGAAAAGTTAAGATTTGAACATGATAGAATTTGAAAGATATGGAGTAAAGTAAAGAATAGAGAGAAAGAGATTTTCATAGTGGTTTGGCTAAACCCCAGCCTACTCCACTCTTCTCTTTAAAACTCCTAAGGAGGTTTGCACTAATCCCTTTAGTAAAAAATAGAATGTTCAAGCCTTGAACACTAAACCAGCCTTGAACTTCTTAGGTTCCTCAACTCAACACCGAGTTTACTCCGCCTCTTTCTACTTCTACCAAGTAGATTTACAAAACGTTTGAAAAAAATAATTCTTCTATTTCCAACGAGAAAGCTTGGCTTTGAATGATGAACTTGATCTTCACGTTTGAGCAACCCAAGCTTCTAAATCTGGATAAAACTTTATAGCTTTTTAAATCTCTCTCACTAGTCTTGCTTTGAACTTGTTGAGAACACTTGAATAGCTTGCAATTTTTACTTCAATAGACTAGCATCTTCTTTTGCATTGAATGAAGGTATTTATAGGCGTTTTAAAAAGGATTCGTTTGATGGAAACCCATTTCAAATGTCTATTTACCAACGGGTAGAGACAATCAATTTTTTTTTTTTTAAAGCGTTTTCTGGGTGTCAAACTTTCTAACGGTTAGCCCACTTAATTTGCGTCAAACATATATTTTTGTTTTGCACAAATGTCTAGTCTTTTTTAAGAAAATCTCTTGGGATGTGTACCTGGGATTCTCTTTGTCTTGGTCACATTTTACCACAAAGCACTAGTGTTTTAAGGTTTTGAACTGTTGGCTTAGAGAATGTTTCGAGAGTCTTTTCGAGTAGTTAACTGTAACTATTCGAGTTAACGTTTTGAACCTTGACACTTTGCTACTTCTCGGCCTTTTGCAGCCTTTCGGTCTTGTAGTCTTGAATTCTTCAACTCTTCTAATTTTCAATCCTTCGAAGTTTCTTCTTGGCTATCCGAAATGTAACCATTCGGGTTACAATTCGGACTATCTTGACTTTCCCAAAATGTAACCTTTCAGATTACTATTCAAACTCTTTGAATTGATGAAAAGAGTTCCTAAGTTTAAAAGATAAGATCAATGAAGGTTAAAATTCCTAACTTTTGGTATCATCAAAATCTAAATTACGAATGTTCCGAGCTAACAATCTCATTCAATCTCTCATTGGTCAACTCATTATGGTAATAATCATGTCCACCAAAGTCTCGAGTACCATAGTAGGCATTGATTGCAGCAGGAGAAAAGCTCACTTGAATACCCCTGAACTATGCATGAATTTGTTTGCAATCCTCTCCTGCTTTAACATAGAACTCACAAACCTAGGAACTAAATGATTCGCTGGGTTGAGCCAACACTTTAGGTCGCCAATTCCATCCAACAAGTACAACTATTTCCAACCCTCTCTCCTTCTTGAAAACCGTTGTTGAGATCCATGCATTTGTTGGGAATTCACAACTAATGCGAGAGCTGGTGTTTCCTCTAATGATCGAGATGGAGTAGTTGGGAATGCCATACTAGAGAAGCCGACAAAGATGGATCTAAATGAGGTTAGTATGCAATTCATCTAGCAGTGCATAGGTTTTAAAGAAATTGTGCAATGTGTTATATAATGCCATGCATTTCTTAGTTGTCAAAAACTCACCAGACACACACACCGCCATCCCCCCTTATGCATTTCTTTTTCTAAATAAGACGTTAGAGTAGAAGCCCATATTGAGCAGCATGCAACACA